AAAATAAAAAAAAAAAAAAAAAGAAAAAAAAATTGGATCGATTTTACCTCTCTCGGTATTCGAACTCACGTAAAGGGTGTATAATTGCACATTTACATAGCAATTGCGTCTGTGTGAGTGTATGTATGCCTATGCGCATCAATTCGTGTCTGTGTAAGCATTTTCGCAGTCAACCAAACAGCAACATCAACAACAACCGCGGGCAGCGCTTGAGCAGCGCTGCAGCAGCAAATATATTTATGGCTATAACTTCTTGGTAAATCGGTCTATAACAGTGAAACTTGGCATACGGAAACATAATTACTAACTGGGGGTATTTGCAAAATTTTAGTTCGAAATTCCAAGAATTACGGGAGTTAGAGAAAATCGCATTTGCGGGGGAGAGGGGGGAGGGAGGGAAATTCCAAAATATACATTTTCTGCGTATTCACACAAGGCATCTTGGACTAAAATTTGGTGTGCCTAGGTCTTATAGTCTCCGAGATATAGGCGATTATACGAATGGAAAATCGGGAAAACCCCCATAGGGGGGAAGTGGGGGGGAAAATCAAAAAAATAAAACAAACTCGTATAGAATACACACATAACGCATCTTTGTGGAAAATTTGGTGTCTCTATCTCTTATAGTCTCTGAGATCCAGGTGTTCATACGGACGGACAGACGGACAGACGGACAGACGGACAGACGGACAGACAGACAGACAGGGCTAGATCGACTCGTCTTGTCACGCTGATCAATAATATATATACTTTGTGGGGTCTGCCACGCCTCCTTCTGCCTGTTACATTTTTCAGCTCCCGCAAACCTAATATACTCTTGTACATTTCATGTACAGAGTATAATGACATTTTAATGAAGGACCAGGCGCATGAGGGTTGTGTGAAGAACTACTAAGCTACTCCTGAATATAAAAGCAACATTTTTGGTTGGACTGTACAAGAGGGAACAGAATTGTTACAGAATTTTGAAATAATTTGATTGATATCAGGAATTAAGTTAATTATTGGCTTTGAAGGAAAACAGTTATAATCTATAAACTACATAACTCCACACTGATAGTCAGATTCTGATAATTGCATTGTTCGCCAAGGTTTTACTTTCGTCACTAGCGTGTAGTGCCGATTCCCACCATGTGATGCTTTAAGCTCGCGCCTTATTTCAATTCTTCCAGCTTGTCACGTTTCTCGAGCTAATGTGAGAAGTGCTCGGCTAGTAAATCAAAAATTGATTTATCCCCCAAATATTTTGTAGCCTATGGGCCTTCGGACTGTTCTCAGCTTGCGTCACTTTTCGCTGAGCGCCTTTTTGGCCAATTGCTTAACGGTCGTATAGAAAACTCGCACGCGCATTAATTTGTCAAATTAACACCTTTTGATAAAATATGAAATACAAAAAAGGTTTAATATTTTTCTTGTCATAGCCAGGGCCATTTAAAACCGACAAATTTATGACTTTTATTTCGGCATTTGTGTGCATTTAAACGTTTATTTTGTTATGGCATTTTTCTGCGGCAAATCTCACGCTAAATCATTGTTGCAGCTGCGCTTACCAACAACAACCAACAACACAAGCCGCAACAACAACGAGAAGCACAACAACAGCCAGCAGCAGCAACAACAACAACATTGACGCCATCGCCTACAACATTCATTCAAATTATGGAACAGCGAGCGATCGAGATCTCGTTTTAGTCACGCTAAATTTATAAAACTGAACAAAAAGAGTACCCAACAGCAACAGCAAAAGCAACGGCAACGTCAGAGCTACAGCAACAACAACAACAACAACAATAAACACACCTTAAAAATATAAGAGCCACAGCAACAACAACAACAGCAACAAAGCTGCAAGCGCTTATAAAAAATGGCAGAAAAATCGTTTCAAGTTAATTAGTGAGCGCGACAAACCCACAAAGTGAATTTATTTATGCACTCATTTTTAGTCGGCCCAGCCGAAAGAGTTACGATTGAGTGAGCCGCTGATGCAGTACATGCTATATCCATATTTACTGCTCACTATATACCATGCCTATGTATGTGTGGGACATGTGAGAGCGCCCTAATAATTGAGCATTAATCACCCGAATATATAAATAGCTCGACAAACTAAGTACGGAATTTTTGCGATTTATTACACTAATAATGCATGTACTTATTTATGAGGTATAGGCTAGTCTGTCATAAATTGGTTATATTCAGCGACTAACTTTAGTTTAAGAGATTTGTTTTGTTATCTCACGTTGACAAAAATTCGGAAACGCAGTCTATTTGCACGAAGTCTTTGTACGTTATTTCTACTGCATGCACATTTCGAGGCAACATACGTATGTACTTCTATATAGGAAGCAAATCACACGAAGCATATATATTTATTTATACAATGTCTACAAATAAAAAAAGAGTTATAGACAATAATGCAGATATATCGACGTTTTGCTAAGCAAAGGGCAGAGAATTATGTCTGATTCGGATATAAATGCATTTAATTGTACAGTGTAATGTAATTGTTAATTAATCTGAATTATAATCTAAAGAATCTTAATATATAAGGAATATTAGAAAATAAGCTCAGACCAAACAGCATTGATCACCATTTAAGGTTAAAGCTATTTTTAAAATATGACTATAAAGCATTTAAATACTTTAAAAACGTGGAAACCCATTTAGAGACAAGAGACCCTTAAGTACCTTCGAAAATAAATCTTAAAACGCTAGTCAATCGATAATCTCCGAGTTTTATAAGCCACAGTAGTTATGTACAGTAGTGATGTAAGTTTAGTACCGTATTGCTATATTTTTTAATATAAAATTCTGTTTTCTTTTTTTAATGTTATAAACTTTTTTCTTTTTTGTATAAAAAAAGGCTATTGATTTTCAAATAAATAATGATAATAATGATTACAGATATACCTACACATAATATCACAACTGAATCGATTTATTTAAATCGCCTCAATAGAAAAAACTCAAAATATGCATAAAAATAAAAAATCTTGAAGTTCCTCTTAGGCGGACACTCCCCTTGGGCTTACAATATGTGGCCGACGCGTCGGTATGTGTTCGGCCAAAAGACGTTTCACTGTATTTGTTTTTATTATATAGTGACTTGTAATGGGAATATTTACTACGGCATTCGAATTTTGTATAATGCTGCCCATCAAGTTTGAATTGAAAACAGAAAAACTAAGGATCTGGCTTGTGAAAGATACGCTTGTAATTCTACTCTACATAGAGAGATTTATCTGACAACGATATAGAGCAGCAATTGCACATTAGAATATTGAAAAGTTTTCATTTTTTCGAAATTTTGCCTTGTCCCACTTTAATATTCTTATTTAAGGTATAATTGGAAAATCTTCATAATGGAAAAATATAAGAGTCGAAAGGAATGTCCGATTTGGAACTGACATCAAATTTTAAGAGATTAACTATAGAATAATAGAAGTCTTGTCTCTAAATTATAATATTCTGCAGCTTTTACCGATTCTGAGGTATTGGCAGCAACGGGGAACTTCAATCTGCACGCTAATCAAATCAAAGTGTTTGTTTTTGTTTTTAATCAAATATATGCATGTACAAGTACAACGAGCAGCGAAAACGGTAAACAAACAATAACCCAGGAACTCCCTAATTCAGAGCCACCCCTGCGAACGAAGCAGCCTGATATGGGAGTACATCAGAGGCCATAAGAGCTTTGGCCACATACTTGTAAAATTATTAAGCAGACGATTACAAATTCCCTGCGGTGGCATAAACTAAATTCATGAGTGCCATGATTGTTAAACAATTTTTTGGTTGGCAAAAGACGCAGGGGGTGAGTGTGACAACACACACATACACGGAGACACACACACACGCACACTGACTAACTCACACACTGGCGGGCAGATAATGAGCTTAAGTTATGTTACATAAGCCATAAGGGCATAAAAACCACTCGAGCAGACACTTCAACGCCAGCGAGGGCAATGGTGAGGGCGAGGGTGAGTTTTGACGCCAGTGTGTGTGTGTGTGTGAGTGTGTGTGTGTGTGTGTGAGTGGCTTTTGGTGGTTGGAAACTAATGAGCTGCAGATTGACGCCAGGGGAGTGCGCGGGGTAGGGGCTCTGCGGTTGTGGTGTTGCTAGTTTGTTTGCACAACTGTTTATGAGGCCCTTAACGGGTCGAGACTAGAGTTTCGAGTGTTTGTGTTTGGTAAGCTAGCCAAGTACTTGTAATGGCGATAAAATTTAAAAGCACTGGAGTATTTGGGGAGGGGGAGGGGGCTCAGTCGATATGTACAATTGTGATTGACGCATGGCAAGGCCGTAGCATTTACTTTTGAGTGGGAATTACTTACTACTCGTCTGCTGGATAAATATTATATTATTTTTTGAATAATGTTACTGTTACAGTCAATCACACAAAATCGGCCATATGGCAAGGTTGACTCGATCGATTAAATTCAAGTGACTACCTCTATCGAAGCTAAAACAAAGTCAACAATACTAAGAATTTGGGGATATATATTTCTATTCTACGTACTGCTTACTATGATCGCCTTAATTCTGATATGCCTATTTTTTTAACTGCAGTCAAAGCTTACACTGCCATTATACTAGTATACTATTTAATTTCAAGGAAACATAATCTAATCAACTCACAACATTAGTCCCTTTACAAATATTGAAAAACATTCTGTTCTGTATTTGGAGTATTTAGAATCGAATAGAAATTTCATTGACTGCATAACTTTCGTAATTCAAGGGAAAGACTCCGCTATTGTGAAAATTCCACTTTTTTCAATTTTCAGAATTTTAATTTATTTATTTATAAACTTATTCTAGCGCTTCAAGTGCCAGATTACTTTTAAATGAATACGCTAATTAAGTTAAAAAAATGCCATTTTTAACATCAGCGTTATTTTCAGATTAAATTAAATTAAATTAAATTATGAAATTGCAGTTTTAAAACCACTAACTGCTAGGTTCAATTCTGGGTTTAACTGGTACGGGGACTCACCTGAGCTCGGACGATCACTGTAGCGGGTGCAGTAAACCCACGCTGGCCAGACCATGGGCGTGCCACTGGAGTTGCTGGAGTTGTTGTTGGAGCCGGAGCTGCCCGTAGTTGTCGCTGTGCTCGTTGCCGTCGACGAGCTGCCATCTTCGGCCGTTCGCGCTGGGCCAGGTGAGCTGGAGGAGGTCGGCTTGACCAGGTCCACGGCTGTGGTGCTGCTGCTCGTGGCCGTGCTGTTGGAGTCGTTGCTGTTGCTGCAAATGTTGGCCAGAGTGCTGGAGAAGCTCAGACTGGGCGTGGTGTTGACGAGGTTGAGTGACTTGGTAGCCTTCTTGCCTGATGGCGCTTTGGAGGCTGCAGCCGCCACTCCATTGGCCAAACGTTGCTGCAGACGCGACCCGAAGTCCGCCTTTAAAATGTTGTCAATGCTGAACTTCAATGCGCTGTCGTGAAGATTATCATTCGGATTGTTGTTGTTGTTGTTGATGTTGTTGTACGGATGGTGGGCAATCAGCTGCTGCAGGGGCATATGCGAGTGGCCTGGCGGCTTGGCCGAGGGCGCAGCAATCCCCAGTGCCGTGGCCGTCAGCTGAGCCAGTGCATCCTGACCCGTTGGCTGTGCAATTGCTGACGTTTGTTGCTGTTGTTGTTGTGCATTGGCCGCTGCCGCTGCTGCCGCCGCCGCCGCTGCGGCAGCTGCGGCCATTTGCAATTGTGACATCTTGGTGAGGGCGCTGAGGTGGCTCGCCGATGCCGCTGCCGCGCCCACGGTGGACGGGCCTTGTCCTCCACGCAGGCCCAGTGGCATGACGGCCGTTAGACGCGCCGCTGCCATCAACTGCATTTGCTGCTTCATCAGCTCCTCGGCATATAGCTGTGACTTGCGGAGAAACTCCTCCTGAAAGCTGACCGGCGCATGCATCATGCCCAGCGGCGGCTCGGGGAGCCCCGGACTGCCGCCGTCATCCGTGGAGATGGTCGAGCGTGCATCGCTGGCATTAGTCACACTGCTGAAGGCCGACGGCCTGCATATTGTGTTCATTAGTAGCTGCTGCTGGCGCTGGCGTGCCTCGGACTGGGCTGCGGACTGCTCCTGGCCAACAGACAGAACACTGGTCTCGCTGCAACAGCTCCTCGCATCATCCTCCATATCGTCGTCCGCGTCCGCAGCCACGTCCGTTTCCAGCATTATCGCATTGCGCTTCACTGGAAGCTCTTCGCTATCCACTATATTGACAATGTCCGATTCCTCGGGCTGCTCCAACTCATCGTCTACCTCATCTGCCTCCACCGTCGTGCACAGCTCCACACTGGCGGCGCTCTTGCTACGCCGCGTGGCCTCATCCATGGCGGTCATTACAGTGGCTCCTCCACTAAGGACACATAGGCGCGGACTGCGGACGCCGTGCTGCGGCAGCAGGGGCAAGCAATCCGGATGCATTCTCTGCTGGACTTCGGGCGCGGTATTGTTGGTGGATTTCAGTGCAAGATTGAGCGTCGGGTGCGAGTGTCGACTGCTCGCCAGCGTGGACATAAAAGCGGCCAGTTTTTAAAATTGCACACGGGCCGAAAGTTCGCTTATCTGAATTTTAACTAACTGCGAAGCCGGCGGCATTCCGCCAGCCGCAATTGCAGCTGCATTTAAAGTGCCGCACAAACACACAGACACGCACACGCACACGCACACCCACACAAACACTGGCACACTATTTAATGTTAAATGTGGCAAATATTTAACAATTCAATTGCACGAAAAAGTATTCACGGTCGTCCCTATATTTCTTGTTTTTGTTTGCCAAAAAATACTGGCAATAATCGCGCGCGACGCGTTCGTAAAATTGCTGGAAGAACGAAGCAACGTGGCGCTCTCACGCGTATCGTTTTCAATTAAACATAAACTATTAAACTGTTAAACGCAACGGACGCGAACACATAAAAAAGCAGCGACGGCGATGGCAGCAGCGCTGTTTTCATCGTCGCTACGAATCGTTTGCTCGTGCTCGTTCTCGCTGTTGCCAATGCGTGCACAAAACTCTCCCGTACGTGCTCTGACCAGCCAACGTATCTAACTGAAGCTCCCAAACGAGACAGCGCGCTGTCTGCGTCGTTATCGCCCCGCTGCTGAAATAAAACCGGAAATGTGGCAATAATAAAAACAGCATAAAAGCGCGCTCACACACACGCACACACACACACACACACGGAAGCACTTCGACTCACGCTCTCTCTCATTCGAACATCCAATGGGCGGCTGTGCGAGGAGTGCTTTGTGCTTGTGTATGTGAGTTACGATAATGGGGCGTCGCAATTGTGCCGCACTATATTTGTCCCGCTCTCACATTGCGCCACGCTCAGTTTTCTCTCCACTCTTTTGCCGCTGTCAGTTGAGGTTATGTTAAGTGTTTGTATATTTGTTAATTAAGTACGGTGACTGCTTTTCCGGATGGCTCCGACTCTGACTCTGACGCTGACGCTGACTATGACTCTGGTTTTGGTTCTGAGTCCCTTGCTTGTCTTTTTGATTATGCGCTGCAGCATTTAAGTCGTAAATCTCTTAGCTTGCCCCAACGGGCGGCGGCGACTCCAGCAACACATACATACACTCTAAGTATGTATGTGCATACCTACATAAGGTTCTTGCTTGCTTTGTTTGCTTGTGGCTGCGCATCTGCAGTCCTTTTGGTGGGCAAGGCTGGCTGCGGCAGCGACAGCATCCTCCATCCTGTTTTATGTGCCACACACTACACACATGCACATGAACACTCATATCTACATACATGCGTATGTACATACATATATGCATGTATATACATACGCACATACATATGTACATACATACGTACGCCTCTGCCCATATGTAACACATGCCAGCTTGCTAGTTTTCATTGTTGTTGTTGGTTTCGTTGGCGAAGTCTTCTTGCCTGCGTTTCGTTTTGGTTTTTTAATAAAAAATTTTGCGCTTTTTGATGTCATTGTTGTTGTTGTTCTTATAAATCACCACCACAATTTTGTTGTTCAACATCTGCTGTGATTTCATAATTGCTTTTGATGCTCCTTCTCTCCGTCCGCTTCACACATCAAGAGACATTGATAGTTGCGCATCATCACATACATACCCACATATGTACATATGTACTCTATATATACGTACGTGTACACATACATATGACCCTAATGTGTGCCAGCTTGTCTAATTGGCTTACATCAATTCCAATATGTGTGCACAAAGTTATCTCAGCATCGTCTTATGACTTTGTTTAATGTAGGAACTAATTTGTGGTCGTTAGCCAGACCCATGCTTCGAAACAAATCAGCGCCGCTGTGGAAGACATACATACATACTTATGAACCTAGATAATGCATTTTATCATCTACATCTCTTTTTTTACCTGATCTCCAATTATTTGCCGCACTATTTATTGCATATATTATTTTAGAAATATCGGAATAATACAGATATATTTTAGATGGCTATTGGCTATTAAAATTTGTTCTTTTATCAGAAATAATTTGCTTAAGGAAAATTTTGAGTTTAAGATGAAATGCTGTCTCACAACGATTTAGATCCTACAGTCTTAGTGCCGCAAACTCTTGAAGAATATTACTTCAGTTGAATGATTAATTAATGGCAAGACTTTTTGATGGTTTTCAACAGATTCAGCCAGATTATGGATGAGCCCATAAGCCAAGCAACTTCATGTGATCAACATGTGATCATGTTTCAAAATAATTTCCCTTAAAGGTATCTCTTCATTACAAGTACATCGTAATTACTCATACGCCATGGTACCAGTTTTCTTTTTTAAATACGGTTTCTCGTATTAATTTCAATACACATTTCCCTACGTCTGTATGAAAGAAAGGATTGCGGAAAGGTGAAATAATCAAACTTGGTATTCATGCTCTCCTAAGTCCTGCTTAGGGCTTTTAGTTTATGTTTGTAGGATTTTTTCATAACTTTAATTTGACAATAACAACCGGTCAATTCTAAAGGAAGCTATAGCCCCAAATAAATTCATTGCCCATGCTATGTAAGCAGCAATTATTGTTGCTGCTGCTTTGGCTTCAACTTATTTGTTTAATTGAAAATTAATTTAATTCAAAACATATTTTTATGTACATATATTTTTGAGTCTGCACCATTCTTGTTATTGGGAAACTTGATCGAAAATGATTTGAATTTCCGCGGTGGAGCAAAATAAATCGTTGAGATATACAATTGAAGTTAAAACTTGATTCATCGGTAATAACACACTCAATTTCTTAACCGTTTCATCGCCAACACCCTCATATCGTTAAATCGGAATTCCTGTATTTATAACTCATAAAGCCAGCCTAGCCTCGAAGAACTTGTCCAGTTTTGCTTCCTCCTTCCCGGTGTTCCAAGTCCATATACACACAGACAGCTATACAACTATTCCTATATGGTGTATGTATGTAGAAACATGAGCATGAGCCCGCCTCAGTTGTACGCCAGATCGAGTTTAATAACTTTGTTGCAGCTTACAAGTTTCAGATGCAACTAGCTGATAAATTAGCACAACAAATTAATCAAGCTTAAGTTCAGCCCGGCATATAACAACAACAACAATTATGCCGGCTACGCCACTACACAGACATTCATACACACATGCACATATATACTCATAAGAAGAGAGAGAGAGAGAGGTACAAATCGATTAAATATTAAAGCTCTTTGCACGAATTATGAATAAAATTGGGCACAATTCCTCAAATGCCCATAAAAACTATTCACAATAGTGGGCCGGCTATCTTACAATGACCAAATGGCCACAAGAAACCGAAACTGAAACTACCATGAAAAAAGACATGATTAAAGCTGCGCACGAAACGCTTTTCACATAAAAGGCGCCGCTAGAGCGCGCGTAAAGAGATCTCGCAAGTTAATCGCGCAGAAAATCTTCATCAGAAATGGACGGCAACAACAACAGCAGCAGCGGCAGCGGCAGCGGCAAAAAAAAAGTAAAGTTACTCAAACAACAAGGAATAAAATAAATACAATCAAAACATGAAGCGTACAACGAAAGCAATAAGTAACGACAACAAGCGCAGACAAAAGCGAAGCCAGCCGGCAAAACATTACAGTCGCATAAAAAACGTAGTCAACAAATAGCATAATCGCGCAACACAGAGGCAGCGCGACCGAGGCAGAAGCAGAAGCAGAGCCAGCAGCAGAGGCAGCAGCTCCCCACACAATTTAGATGCGCGGTAATAGATAAACTTAAAGAGGCTTTTATTTAAACAAAAAGCGCATCGAAATAAACGCCAATGATAGGCAAGCGACGCGTGCGGGTGTGTGTGTGTGCATGTCCCAGCTATCCATGTACGAGTTCGTACGTGTGTGTGTGTGTGTGTCAGTGTCTGTTGTTGTGTCTGTATGCGTTTATCTGTGTTCCTCTGTTGCTGACGCGCAAAAATGTTTGTTTGTATGTATATTACAAACGAGCTACAATCTCAGTTACAACGATGCAGCGTTCTCCCTCTCTCGCTCTGCTCTGCTCAGCTGTGTTGGTACGTGTAGAACTGCGTTTGGAGTTCCAGTTGGAGTTTTCGTTGGAGCCTCGTTAGTTGTGCCTCCTTGGCTGGCTCATTGTCAATCTTATTGGATTGCAATTGCATTCTCTTCGTCGCCGACTTGTTTGTGCTGATCTTTTAATCGAATCGTAACATTTATTATGTACGCTGGGATCGGTATTGGGCTTGCAGTTTGCAGTTTTTAGTTCGAGGCTGGCGATTTGGTGACTTTGTCTAATATCACGTAAAAGTACAGTAGACACAACGAAGACGGAACTGCTTAGAAATAAGGGTGTTCATTACATAAAACGACAATTCTCTTTCCTATTTACCTATCCTACAGGTGTATTACAAAACATTGCTCAAACCACAAATTTCTGAATTCCGTGTTCTATGCACCCGATTGCTACCTCAAGTTTAGTAGGCATCTGAATATCTTAGTGTAAATAAATAAGATAATGGTATAAATATGTATATATATATATATTACATTATTTGTAAACATATTTTAGAACTTTTCTTTTTTACATACTTACTTTTACTAATCAGGCCTGTTCCTGTTTTCGAATACTTTTTAAAAGTAAAAATTTAATTTTGTGTTTCCATGCTGCAACTTTTTGGCTTTCGGACTTAATTTGTGTATCGTTTTCATTCCGATAACATAAGTTTGCTCCCCCCTAGAAAAAATTTTTCCATATAAAGTCGACCACACGTTCATTATTATGACGCACTATTTCGCCTTAAGATGGATCTGCGTTGGATTTGTTGAAGTTTTTTCATCGATCATATGCACAAATTATTTTTTAAATGTATCGGGCATTATTTAATCAAATTTTAATTTTTTGCCCCTTTGGTAAAAGCTGGCTACGCCCTTGGTTATTAATCTTATAAATTATATTAAAATTATAAATTCATTTTGGATCATAATACTTCAATAACCTAGCCGTTTCGATTCCGAATAATTTAATAGAAATCGGATATGATAACAGGCCTAAAATCTATAATAATATACTAGTATCAATCGATGGTTCGTAGAAAGCTTTGACTAA